GCATATGAACCGTTTAAAGGTGCCCATACACTTTACAACCATCGCAAGACTTTTGTCTTGCGATGGTTGTAAGCTAATTAAAAGCGCATACGATCTGCCCATCTTGGACAGGCAGATCGTACTTGCGATCATCGCAATCCCGCCCCGCTGAGGGGAGGGCTTCCGATGATAGCAGTGCTGAGTGGGCAGTGTGCGCTTGCGCACACCGGCCCGTGCGGCATTTGCCTTACGACCATGCCAGCAACCTGCTGAAAATCATACGATTTTCGGCAGGTTTTCCAGCGTGCTAGGAAGACGAAAGTCGTGCGACCTTACAGTAGCAGAGGTTGCACGCTGCCCATACACCTGCCGATTATCGTACGAAAATCGGCAGGTATATGGGCACCTTAAGGGGTTGAATGCTTGCATCAGAATTACAAGACCAGGGCCGCCAGAAAGGCAAGTACATTCACTCATTTAGCACTTTTGGATACAAGTGACCCTGTACTGACAATGACTCTGCCCAACAACTGATAATGTAAAATAAAGGCCTCACGAGGAGCGCATTCGTTTCGATCAGTGGGCTGACTCAGATTTATTGTTCTAAGGAACCTTCGTTATGGTGATGACCATACACCAAGCACTCAGATTTGCATTGTGAGGAGCAGAAAAGCAAAGCCTAAATATGCAAGTATGGGCTCACACCTGAGCGGTGATATAGCACATGTACTAAAGTGCGTTTTGCACACATCACTAAGAAATAATGTCACCAGCACACCATAGTATATTCGATGGCAATGTGTCAGTAAATGGACTATTGCTTTACTACTATAGTGTGCTGGTGACATTATTTCTTCATTTATGGTATACACGGTGCCGTCCGTGGTCACTACGAGCACCCACCCATATGGGTTCCTTCCGGTAAGGAGTGCAGCAAGTATTGCAGACTGAGTATTGCACACATCACTGTGTGCTGCAGTAGGGCAACCCAATAATTTCAACAGGCTTCCTTCTGCATATAAATCGTACCTATGAAGTGAATGTCTTTAAGATTACGTTGCACTACAATGCATGGTTAATAAGTTACCATGTGTTGTGGTGCAATGGATAGGTGCACTGAGGAGCCATTAAGAAATATGGCACAGCACCAAACAGTGTCACAGGTGATCTTGTGCGGTGTGGGAACCGGTGCGGCTGCACCGCATAGATGTGAATGGGGGAAGAAAATTTAGCTGGGATAATGCAATACCGCAAAACCACAGTTGGTGTGCAGTCCCATTCATTGTAACTGTTGCATTTGGCACCCCTTGCCAAACACGAGATGCCGTTTAGGATTTGTGCATGTATACAAGGCTCAGGGAATGGTATAAACACGGAGCAACCACTTGTTTTTGCCACCCCCTTACCTCCCCTCTGAACAAGGCTCAATACTTCTGTTTCTGTGTTAGGCACAGGCATTTTAAGTAGTATTGAAGTCTGTAAATGTTTGTTTTCCTCATGGAAGCAACAGACTTGTCAACTTGTGACAAGGCACATTTAAAGGAATCCTGTCATGAATTGTAAACATGGAAGCGGTCTTTACATCTGAAAATGCTAGTCGCTGGCACTTGCTGTCTTATTAGCATTTCATATCACTGGCCCAGATACCGATATTGGACTTTACACCAGCTTTCCAATCTCATACTTATCCAGCATAACAAGCAGACAACTAGCACTTTCAGGAAGAGTGTATGCAATGGCAGGCTGTCATCTCATGCCTGTTGTACTTTGACCCTGCAGTATAGCTCCCCCTGTCACACTTCAGTTTAGAGGCATTTATTCAAGCTTTTTGAGCATTTGTACAGGCATTTCAGGCTTGAGCCTTTTTATAGCCATTGCACAGAAAGTTACTAGGCACAAAATGCTTGAAAACACATGCTCTGTGTATTTTTCAGTCTACTGGAGCGAAGACACCTGACTCCAAAAGAAGCTCATATACTTTATGCTACAGGCGATTTGCTACAAGTGAAAGTATGCTCTGAAGGATAGGAACCCCCACTGCTATAGGGGGCCCTGTTACATAGATTTCTCCTCTCTGTCCTGTTGACAACACCTTTAGCATATAGCAAGTGAAGACAGCCTACAATAGCCAGCAATAAAAAGCTGACAATGGGTAAAACAAAATGATTTGTTTGTGTTCATGAGGTAGATTTTCTTCACTTCCTGTCAGCTGACTCTGGTCACTGAGACAGCAATTGTGTGGAAATCTCTTTAGATTGGAAGTAAACTTCGTTGGTTAGGGGGTGAGCTTTTGCCACAATCTGAAAGTATTCTGTACATACTTGCAGATTAACCACTTCAAGACCAGGTGTTTAGACCCCCTTCCTGGCCAGGCCATTTTTCAGTATTCAGCGCGGCGGTACTTTGACTGACGTTTATTCCGTTCGGGGGGGCGTGTCTGAGCGGACGTCTAAAGACGCCCGCTCAGATCTAGAGAGCTCGGGCCGGCCGTTTTTTTACTACGGCCGGCCCGGAGGTGGTTAAAAGAGAACTATGGGGGTAACCTTTTTATCCCATAGTTCTCTTAAGGGCCACATGTTCTAACATCCTCACATGACCCAAAGCTCAGTATATCGCAAGCTATTGCTCACTATATACCATGTTTGCCGCAACCGGGACTGATCCTGACAATGCTGTTGAGATCCGCCCACCTGTGTGAGTGACAGTTGGCTCTGCCTATCCAGAGGTAGAGCGACATGTGCCCGCCCACTCCCCCATCCGTTCAGTCAGCGCTGGAGGATCGGAGCAGGAGGAATCCTTGCGGGGAGTGGTGGCTGACAGTCATCGCTCTCTGCAGGGAGATGATTGGAAAGTGAGCGAGCGACTGTATGCGTTCGCTCATGTCCCGATCTATAGAGCCGACGTGTGAGTTTCATTGCCACAGGTCGGATAGAACTATGAGGATGAGTGAAAAATCACTCCTCATAGTTCTCCTTTAAGTCACATACCTACATCCTTTAGTGCCGACAGGCCAGGTACCTCTTCAGCCAGTGATAAGGCAACACCTTTGCATGTCTACAGGAAATACCCCGTCACCAGGCCCCTCACAAATGTCAAAAATGAGCCAAGCACATTCACCATACATCAGGGGTGGGCAAACTGGCTCTCCAGCTGTGGTGGAACTACAAATCACATGATGCATCTGCCTCTGGGAGTCATGCCTGTGGCTGTGAGAATCTTGCAATGCCTCATGGGATTTGTAGTTCCACAACAGCCGGAGGGCCAATTTGCCCACTCCTGCCATACAGTGTACACAGAAAAAAATTAAAATCTGATATAGGAAAGACGTTTTGGGCAGAAGACATGTCACAGGTCTTATTTCAGCATTTTTTTATTTTTAGAGTTTAATTCTGCTTTGACAGAGCCCTGGATAGCAGCAAAACCCAAGTGGGTTCCTCATCACCTTACTATCCATAGTAACAAATAGTAAATAATGTTCTGGCTGAATATATAACTTCAAGCCCCCATTCACACAAAAGCATTTTACGGTGTGTAAACCCAGTGTGCGGCAACGTTCAACATAAAGAACGCTATTGTTTATAATGCTGCCCTTTCACACCTCAGCGTTGGGTCACCTGTCACTCGTTAAAGTACATGAGATTCAATAAAGTTTTTACTCAAAATAAAAGGCTGAATAGTAGGAGGATGGGCTCTAAAAAGGGGGTCATAAGAACTTGCGAGGGAGTTTCTTGCAATGTTTACTGTGTGGTGGCAGCACAACCCCCCCACACAGAGCAATCCTCCGGCACGGCTCCTTACCACTCTTAGGCTTAGAGTCCCCGGCAGGCCCGGTAGAGGCCGATCGGTTCTGAGTCTTGCTGGTATTGCTGGATCCGGGATCCATGTCTGTGGCCGAGCTGAGCGGCATAGACCGCGGGAAGGGCGGGGGCAGCACCGTGCAGGGGGCGGCTGACAGCCAAGAGCATGGCGTTCACGATAGCCGGGGCACGAGGAGCGCGATTCATGGCGACATCTTGTTGTGTTCCCGAAAAAAAAAAAGAAAAATTAGGAATAGACCGGAGGGCAGATAGTAGAGGAACGGTGATCAGGGAGCAGTTAGCCCCACAGGACGGGTGATTGGGCAGCAGAGGGCCCCACACGACTGGGGATCGGGCCCTGCTCCGGCACAGAGGATTACGAGGGGGAGGGGAACGCGGCCGGTCCCTAGCGGGGAGCGGACCCGGGTGATGGGAGCCCCTCAGGGACTCTGGGGAGGTGAGTGGAGGATCAGGAGCTGCCCCCTCCGGGAAGGAGCAGAGAACGAACACCGCGTCTGTAATGGCGACTGACCGCCTGACGGTGCTAGATCCCCGGATGACGCTATTATATAGAGGGGGCGTGTCCGGGACGCAGAGGCTGCCGGGAGTTGTAGTCTCGTAACTGACAGCCATGGTAGGCCTCATTGCAGGTCTGTATCTAGAACGGAGTATGTTAGCGGAGCCAAATCTGTATAGGGAGTAGAATGGGAGGGGAATGAAGGATTATCTTCTGTCATTGTATAGAAACAAGACGACTGTGAATGCAGTGGGAGGCTATTCCTGCAGATTGTATAATCTAGACACCTCTGCACACAAGGCTAGAATACACTGTACACTCCGATTGCACAATCTCCTTTTACATTTACCAAAGCTATGTAATATGAGGACAAACCTAAACAATTTTTATGAATTGTATCAAATCAAGTTCTACATAGTTGATGGTAGATTTAAATGATATTGTACAGTCAGATTGAATAGTGTATGGTCCCCCTTGAAGTGAGAACTGTAGAATCCAGAGAATGATTTGTAGATTTTGTTTTTATATAGGCAAAATTAGCACAGGCTCAGAAATATATTTACCCATTTCTGTCCATACAAGCTGTTTTATTATATATGCCAAATGTATGTATTGTTACTACATTCGTCCTTTACAACACTCCATTGTAGCTCTTTGTGTAATAGCAGACTAGAATGGAGCAGGTACAAGGACAGAACAGGACGGACATGGGTGTTGCAGTGCACATAAAGAGGATGGGCTTCTTAAAACAGTCAGATTACAAAGCGATACGTAATTACGTATGGGGGAGTGCAGGGTGAATCACAGGGTGATCAGTATGGGGGAGTGCAGGGTGATCAGTATGGTGGAGTGCAGGGAGAATCACAGATTACAGGGTGATCAGTATGGGGGAGTGCAGGGAGAATCACAGATTACAGGGTGATCGGTATGGGGTAGTGCAGGGTGAATCACAGGTTACAGGGTGATCAGTATGGGGGAGTGCAGGGTGATCAGTATGGGGGAGTGCAGGGAGAATGGCAGATTACAGGGTGATCGGTATGGGGGAGTGCAGGGTGATCGGTATGGGGGAGTGCAGGGTGAATCACAGATTACAAGGTGATCAGTATGGGGGAGTGCAGGGTGAATCACAGATTACAGGGTGATCAGTATGGGGGAGTGTAGGGTGATCGGTATGGGGGAGTGCAGGGTAAATCAGATTACAGGGTGATCAGTATGCGGGAGTGCAGGGTGAATTGCAAATTACAGGGTGATCAGTATGGGGGAGTGCAGGGTGAATCAGATTGCAGGGTGATCAGTATGGGGCAGTGCAGGGTGACCGGTCTGGGGGAGTGCAGGGTGAATCAGATTACAGGGGGATCAGTATGGGGGAGTGCAGGGTGATCGGTATGGGGGAGTGCAGGGTGACTCAGATTACAGGGGGAGCGGTGTGGGGGATAGGGTGATCAGTATAGGGAGTGCAGGGTGATCGGTATGGGGGAGTGCAGGGTGACCGGTATGAGGGAGTGCAGGGTGAATCAGATTACAGGGTGATCAGTATAGGGAGTGCAGGGTGATCGGTATGGGGGAGTGCAGGGTGAATCACAGATTACAGGGTGATCAGTATGGGGGAGTGCAGGGTGAATCACAGATTGCAGGGTGATCAGTATGGGGGAGTGCGGGGTGATTTACAGATTACAGAGTGATTAGTATGGGGGAGTGCAGGGTGATCGGTATGGGGGAGTGCAGCGTGATCATTATGGGGGACTGCGGGGTGATTTACAGATTACAGAGGGATTAGTATGGGGGAGTGCAGGGTGATCAGTAGGTAGTCAGATTGCAGGGTGTCAGATACAAGGGGGATGGAGAGAGTCACAGATTGCAGGCTGTTCAGTATGGGGGAGGATTGACAGGTTGCAGGGTGGTAGTGTAGGGGAGACACCGATTGTGGTACTGGGAAGAGGGGGAGTGTCAGATTGCAGCGTTTTCAGTATGGGTAGATGGTGTCTCAGATGGTCCACAGCCATTTGCACCTGCCCCTGGTCCACTTTTTCCTGGACTGGTACACTCAATGGCATGGCTACCAGTTCATTAAATCGAGGGCCAGGGTAGGCGTAGAGTGACAGACTGATTGGGCACCTTGTGAAGTCACCTAAAGGATGCGCAGCACCTCATAGTGTGGTCACAGCAGGGTAGCCTCCTTTGTCTTTTGAGTAAACCATACCACGATTATACATTCAGTGCTTATATCGCTAACAGATGGCACAGGTGCCCAGAACACCCTCGTCATCTACCCTCAGTAACTAGAAACCTGTAATGAAGAGCACAAAAAGAGTGGAAGCTGTCATCTCTAGCTGCTGGGGACAGTTCACGGGGGTAAATTGGCAGAGTGCCTTAATCTATTCCTTACCCAGACCCAGAGTTCCCCTTTCACTCCTCTTCTCCACAAAGGCTGCCTACCATAGCTGTGGGTAGCCATCATAGCTGATAGTTCATTAAGCTTGTGTTGAACTGTGGCCCACCCATTCCAGCCCCCCCCCCCCAAAAAAAACCCATGCCGCAGACACCCCTTTTATTATCCATTGCTTC